TTAAGAAAACATTTGGAAAACATTAATTTTACAGAAGACAAAGACTGAATCATCCATGTGAAAGACAGATGTATGAAAATAGAAGCTCATAGTGCAGGATAAACTAATTGAGAAGAAATGTAAACCAGGTCACTTACATGTAACCCTCCTCCCAGAAGTTCGGCTAGCTGTGATTCAAGGCCTACTTTCACTACAGCACAGTTCTGCAACCGTTCTGTTTTCTCCTGAGAAAATTGCTAGGGAGTGAGAAGGAGCTCTGAGGGAGTGCACAGGCTGAAGCATGCAAGGTAAAGTTGCAGACATAATAAGATTGTTAGGACAGGGGAAACTTGCACCTCAAGGGTTCAAGTATAACACCACTCACATGAAAAGGTATAAAATCCTGAGGTAAAAAAGGATAATCAGGAGACAGCAACTCAGCAACATGATAGATAAGCCTGTTCCAGGGAGCAACAGAGGCCAGCCCTCCCCTACCTGAGTGATGATTACTTGCCTATTAGACTTAGTGACTCATTTGGTGGGGCTGATTTAATGCCTAGTTCGTTAGTCCTAAAATGCATTGTGTGTGTTAGACGATAAATAACTTGCTTTGTGCTTTTAAGCTGTTTATATCTTGCCTGAAGAATCTCTTTGGTAAAAGTTCCCTGAAGAGAGTGACTCCCTGAGGGGGAGGGTTACGTAAGTAATCCAGAATAACAGACAAGAATAATATGATTAGTCATGTTGAAGAGCATTTATACTGTAAAGCACAGGTGCACTGTTTAGATGGGTTAGGGGATTTCAGAACATAGCGGGCTTTTTTCAGCAGATGAAAAGTTCAGAAAAGATTCACGTAGCTACAGCATCAAATAAATTCTAACTGAATCTGGGTACAGAACCTGATCTCTGTAATGAGCCAAGAAACCTGGGAGAAAAACACAGAAGTGTTGGGAAAGGCACTGCGGGGAGAAGGCATTCTGAATACTTCCAATCCCATGATGAGGAAATTAGAACAATGCTTCCCAGGAAGCACATACCTGAGAAAATAATGAAGCAATTGGATCTGGGAAAACTCTTGATCTAAATGACAAGTAAATTAGTGAAACAGATTCTAAATTTCAAAGTCTGGCTTGTTGAAAAAGAACAGAATGCTGGAGGGAGCTCACAAAAACCACAAATGAATAACTTTTAAAATTATTCTTCTGATTTAAATGTTTTAAGTGTTTGCTGCTTGATTGTGCTTGAAGAACCACACACACTACATATGTATTATATAAAAGCCTGAAAGAAACCAGCACTTGAGTTAGAGCAGACATTAACTTGCAATAAATTGCAGGAAGCTGCATATTAGAGTTGTGTCTTAACGCCAGTGAGGAAACTGGAGGACTAGAGAAGGTGAGCAAAAATGGCCTTTACCACTGGTGTCTCAGACTTTGTACCTCTCTCATATACTTGGCATTCTCCTCTCAGATTTTTTTTTTTAAATGTGCTTGCCTGGATGGTAAATTCCAAGGATGATAAGACAATGTTGGAAATAGAGCAAGAACTGTTATTTTTAGGAAGATAACAAGATTCAAAGCTCTGATCATTCCAGCATCCTATGGGAATAAGGGGTAACTCACAAAGGTTAACTTTAATCACAGAATCATAGAATCATTTAGGTTGAAAAAAACCTTAAGATCATCAAGTCCAACCGTAAAACTAATGCTGCCAAGGCCACCACTAAACAAAGCTCTAAATGTCATGACTACATGTCTTACATACCTCCAGGGATGGTGGCTCAACCACTTCTCTGGGTAGCTTGTTCCAATGCTTGACAACCTTTTTTGGTGAGGAAACTTTTCCTAATATCCAATCTAAAGCTCCCCTGGCGCAACTTGAGTCTGTTTCCACTTACCCTACCACTTGTTCCTTGGGAGAAGAGACTACCACTTTCCTCACTACAACCTTCTTTCAAGTAGTTGTAGAGAGTGATAAGATATCCCCTGAGCTTCCCTCTAAGCTAAACAACCCCAGTTCCTTCCTCCTCATAGGACTTGGTCTCTGAACCCTTTACCTGCTTTGTTGCCGTTTTTTGGACTCCAGCATCTCAGCGTCTTTCTTGTAGTGAGGGGCTGGAACTGAGCACAGTACTTGAGGTATAGCCTCACCAGTACTGAGTACAGGGAGGTGATCACTGCCCTGGTCCTGCTGGCCATGCTATGTCTGATACAAGCTAGGATACTCTTGGTCTTCTTGGCTACCTGGGCACAAACTGGCTGATATTCAGCTGCCTGTTGAGTGGCACTTCCAGGTCTGTTTTTTTTTGCCAGGCATCTTTCCAGCCACTCTTCCCCAAGCCTGTAGCATTGCATGGGGTTGCAATATTCAAAACTCTAGGAACTAAAACTTAATGAACTTCATTCACAGACAAGTGAATTCATGATCACAAGAAGTGTAGAAAAAAAGTAATAAACACTTTTTATTCTCTTTTTAAGATGTAAAGAAGGGCTTGTGAAAAATTAAATGTCCCATTCTCTCCTCTGTTCTTTCAACTATGCTAGTTTACCTAACAGATGATATTATCTCCATGTTCAAATCTGTTTCTACACCTCCAGAACCCATGGAGGACTTCCCAATAGCTTCCCAAGTATGAACTAAGGGATTCATAACACCAAAGAAAAAATGGGGTTTATGTCAAATTCAGGAGCTGCAACTGTTTAAAGTGATGGCTAAAATTAAGAAATTATTGTATCTGTAGTCCTCGATACATTTTTATCACTTATGTAGCATAAGTGCTGATGAAGTTTCTTGCTCCATCTACAGCTTGAGCACCAAAAGCCACCAAACCAATGGTACTCAGTTATTTTCAGGATGTTGACTCTCTTTTTTCTCTAATTTTTCAAGTGCCTGGATTCTAACCTATCATATCAGGAATCCTATTCCAGAGCTAGTGGCTTTGACCTTTATACAATCCTTTATGAAAATCTTTATGTTATAAGCTCTTGTTTGCCATTGCCTGAATGGGAAGTGAGACCTTTGAATTCAATTTCAGACAGCAGGCCTGCTGGTCAGAGATAAGTATCTTGTTCTGCCAGACTGCACAATGCTCCAAACCAATTTCTTGTCTATTTCTGAAAGATTCCCCTCAATTGAAACAGAAAATTAGCAGTAACAACAGATTTTCTTAGTGAACACCCTATCATTACAGTTAGCTACTACTGATTGGTGGGAATCAAATATATACTGACTGGACTAAACCTGAATTTTTGAGAATGTAGAGCTGTTTTATTTACTATGCTCCTGAACAACACAATTTAATATCATATCAGGTGGGAGAAATATTTATCTCTGTCGGTATCTGCATCTATACAAATACTTAAACAACAGTTTAACAGCTGTTTCTTGCAGCCCATAGCAAAAGGGAGTGTTTGCCCAAGAATGACAGGCCCTCAAACAGAACATGATGTTAACCTTTAAAATTAGAGGGATATATACTGGTCTGGTTTATAATAATTTTACAGGAGTGTATTCATATTAACTTCAGGGCAGGTACTTCCTTTTTCATCATTTTAAGCAAGTTTGGAATCAAACCGCAAGCCTTTAATGAGGTTTTAATGATCCACTTGGGGGAGCTAAAGGGTAATTTGTTTCCAAACTGATTATGGCAAAATGTTTGGAATGCAAAATTAAGAGCAGAGTCATCCACTTCCTTGAACTCAGTGCTGGCTGTTAATCTATATTATCTTCTGGAACAAAGGGTCCCCAGTTCTTATTAAAATTAAAGCCACATATACAAAAAAGAATCATAGTTATAAACAGCTTAGCAGCAAACACCCATAATAGCATCAATCATACCCTGGCTTCATTTATACACCTACAACATACATTGAATGCAACAGCCATAACATGTTAGAAAGTTTGGTCCGTACTCTTACGCTACATTTTTGTGCTAGTTAACATTAACTGTAATGTGATAGCAAGAAAAAAATTCTAACATGCAATGGTTTTGTCTTTCAGTTAATCAAATACCTCTTTTTTTCAATTTTTTTTTTTATTCCTTTTCTTTAGATGCTGGTCTTGGGCTGTATCTGCTTGTGGCTCATGCACCAGTTACTATGTTGAAACATGGCTTCACAGCTGCTTGGCCTTATTCTTGATTGCCTATGGTTATTGGTAGTTCTTTGACTGTTCTGAGTTAGGCACTAATTAGAGGCAGAGATGCAGTATCTTCTATATTGGAAGGAAGAGCACAGTCTTTTGTATTTGAAGAGCCACTAAAATATGATCTTGGGTTTTTTTTTTTTCCATGCTGAGATTGTGCTAAAGTTCAGATAAACTGACAATACAGTTGATTTCAAAAGCCACAGTGAATTCAAAGCTATAATCACATCTTTTATAAAAGGAATAAAACTCAGTTTCAGTCACATAACTTACATGAAAATTTCATTGGCAAAGCTGTACTGTCAATGTCTCCACTGTATAAGCTTCATCTCATTTCAATTACTCTGCAGTGCAGTCCAAATTAAAGTTCATGGTTGCCCATCTGTGGGTATCTAATTTAACTGACTCATGTAAATAAAGTTTCAAGCAAAAGTGATAATTAAATAAATTATTTTTTCCTTTAGCATAACTTATTTGCTATGTTTAAGGTTTCCTTATTTTATGTTTAATTTAGCCAGAGCATGTGGAAAAATTAAACTCTAAGCATCTTTACAGGAAGCACTGTTGCTAGGCACTCTAAAAGCAAAGGCTTATGCTTGGTAGCTATAAACTACCAAAATATATTTTTAAATGTCATTCAGCATCCTGAAGGCAGACACAACCATGCTGACTGAATACCATGCGAAAGACAATGGTAAAGCAAATGGAAGCAGCGGGTACAGTCAACTCAGGTATAGGAACGAAAGCTATAATCATTAACAGTACTTGATGGCAGTATTTGTAGTGCAATTTGCTTTAGTGCTTTCTCTTTGATAAGTAAGAAAAGCATTATAATGTATTTAGGAGGAACTATTACTGCTATAAGTTGACCAACTTACGTTAATTAATTCAATATCCCAGATTTTTTTCACAAGGTCCATCGATGTATAGCCATTAATTAGAAAGGATTTGGTATAGTCACCCAGTTCAATGGAATCCAGCCATTCTGCTACAGAGGCGGGGTTGTAGCCATCATGACCAATCTGCTTCATCTGAAAACCAAGAATGAGGAAGAATTACTGATGATATTCATTAAACATCTTTCAGAACAGCAGTTTATGTCTATTAGTTTCCTCACAGAGTTACCTTATTCTTGGATCAGCATTTTTTTAATGATTAGTACAGTGTGAAACAATTTTGTGAGCAAAAGCACTAAAAAACCTTAGTTTTTACTGTATCTTTAACTTATAGTGGCTTGCCTTTTAAATCAGACTATACCAAGACTGGAGCTGGAGTTCAGTTCTTAGTGGATATCATAGAATACACAAGTGAGAGAAGGCAAAAAGGTGAAAGAGAAATTATTAATATCCTGACTTCATAAAAATGTCAGATTTGCACCTAAGATTTCATAAGAAATAATTCTGAGGAATGGGTCTTTTGGTATCACACTGCAAATGAAACATTCTGCTTTGGTTATATTATTGTTAACTTACCTCTCCTACTAGGTTATCGAATATTTTATAATGGTTGAAGACACGCTGTATTTTTCCACCCTCAGGGGAGGTTTAAAAAAAGACTTTCCTCTACCTGGTCAATTTTTCATGGAACTTCTGGGAATTTAACATATTTTAGATAGCTCTCTCTGTCTGTAAAGTTGCCTGAGACTGGACAATCAAACCAAGTATTACTGGAATGGAACTGAGAGAATGACACACACAGAAGCACACCACATGCATTTATATAGCAACACAGTCACAGGAAGCATAATCACATAAATCTTGTTTTCATAACAAAGAAATACCACTGCCTCTTATTTTTCTGAAGATTGTTGAGCTACTAGGAAGCAAAAAGCTGCATTTCTTCTTTCACAATTGCCTCTCAGTGACACAAGTCAAGATTTCAAGCTAGCCATTAAAGATAAAAACATATAAAGCCTCTACCTGTGCAGCTTGTTATGCCATATTTTTAATGAATTTTAAAAGAATTTGCCATAGTGTCAGAGGTAGAACAAAGTAGAAAGAAAATGAGCAATAGCCTCAATTTTCTACAGTATTATATGCATATCATCTTTCTATAGAAGTGTAACTATTGCTAACATGATGATACACTGAAATGGTAAACTGCTAAGAAGCTTTAGAGGTTTAGAAACCTTGTGTTTTGCATAGGTTCTCCTGGCTATGCAAGGGTGACACTGCATGGTGAAAGACAGTATCCCATTTCTGCCTGCTTATGTACATTCCTACTTTCTAAGAAAAAAGGGAAGTGTGACAGAAACATAATGCTTTGAGCTTAAGTTTGAAGTGAGTGACGAAGTAATTTAACAAGGAGAGAATTCTGATCTTAATATCTTGCCTGAACCAACTTATTTCCCACAGTTTATTTGAAATACAATTTGAATTCAAAGCAGAGAAAAAAATTTAATATCTGCATCTGAAAGCCACGGTAGTGTTCATCAATCTATCTGTTTAAATGCAGAAAGCCAGCATGTCATGATCTTGATCTTAGTTTCCTGTAGTATCAGAGAAGAGTGATGCAGGCAGACTGCATCACGGATATGACAGTTTACTCTTTGGTCTTTGTTACAGATGTTGGATATAAAATATTAATAGAAATATTTAAATGATGTAGTGAAATCGTTATCTTAAATCGTAAAAGAGAGACAAGAAATCACATAAATTAACAATTGGTATCAGCCTTTCAGGTCACTTCTTTAACATGGGAGTCATTAGAAATTCAGAGTTCAGTTTTGCTGTTGAACTTGACATTTTGGAATTTAGTTTCATCCTAATTTATAATTAAATTCTTAGATGTCAAAAGCATGGCAAATTCTTCTTTTACTGTCATTCAGACTTCAAATCTTAGACCGACGATCTAGCAGACTGCAAAAACATTGGAGGATTCCAGGAACTCTGGCTCCTGGGGAGCTTATTTCAAGATTTGAAAAAAAGGTATTCTTAAAAAACTGACACTTGAGGAAGAAAAATCTAATACAAGAGAAGACATAAAGATGTACAGGGAACACGTGACTTTTGACACATATAAGGTATTTTTGTTTCCTTTCTGTAACAAAGAAAAGTGAAGCACCTTTGAAACAATTTTCAACATAACCAGATGGGGCATGTTATGCATATTAAATCTTTTTTTTAATTACTATTTGATCTGCATGTTTAATAAATACTGATTTTAACAAGTTGGGGGTTTTCTGGTTTTGGTGGTTTTTTTTTTGACCTGCTGGTTGAGAACCCTCATGCAGTCTGGTCCATAATGCTGGTAACCCATCAGCCTCTATGAAAACCAAACAGCCTGGGAAGTTTCTTGAATTCTCAATTCCCACTGGTGATCAAAAGGGTTGTTAAAATAGATATCACTCTACTACGGTGTGTTGCAAAAGGCTGCAGGCAAGCAAACACAGGTGAACAATCCAATAAGCAAGAGGCTGAGAACAACTGAAATGTATGTGACAATTTCATTCTCTGGATTTGGTGTCAATAGACAAAATTGTCACTGGGTCACTCAAAAGCCTACATGAAAATACACTGGGAAGCAGCAGGCTCTGCAAACATTTTCTTTCTTCCTGTCCAGGGATTTGGCTGCCTGTGTTCAAGGCCACACAGGGGATAGTGCCACTGCATAGCCTTGGATCAGACCCAGGTGAGAAAAAGCAGTGAGAAGCCTGGTTGGAGCCAGCCCACCTTCTCCAAGAGCAGCATCTGAGCTCTGGTCCACATCCCTGACATTCACCCAAGCTATGCCATAGGTACATCTGTGCCCTGCCATACACCTTGCTGATCCTCACCCTCCTGAATCGACCTTGTCCCATCCTCATCCCTACGGATTTGCCCTGGGACGTGGCTGTTCATGGTCACTACTACCATCCCTGCCCCTCTGCCAGTGCTCCCTGTCTGCTCACTGTCCCCTCTCTGCTCCCAGCGCACCTGCCCTGGCAGGACAGGCCCCTACTGCTGCTCCTACTGCAGAAAGTAAACCTCAGAACTAGAATATTTGCTAGCCGTTTCCGCACAAAAGCAGTATTTTGTTTTGTCATGAACCAAGAACCACTTTCTTATCTAAAACAGATTTTCTAATATGTGTCTAATGCATGAATATCAATAAACTTTCAGTATCTGTCCTCTTGAATGGAAAGTTCTGTTCTGTCAATAACAACAACCAGCTTATTAACTGTCACTCATAGCTGGCTGAATGTTTGCCTTTCAAATATTTATTGACAGACAGATCAGTTATCTAGATGTGACAGTATCATTAATAGCATCTGCCTTTCTTATAAAATGTTATGTAGCTTTAAAAAAAAAACCACTTGGAAATATCTGCCTGAAAGCGCTGCCCCCTTTCTTTATTAGAGCTCTAGTTTAGCTGCATCTTATCCCAGTCCTAATTAACAGGTCATGGCTCTTGGACTGTTTATATTTTTTTTCTATACTACACCATGATCTTAGAGTCCTTTCACAGGTCATGTACACCCTGTATACCTCCTTGCTGATACCATGTGCTGACTGATTTCTGTTTCTGAAAGAAGAAACTCCTCCTATCTACTGACTGTATTTCCATGTATTCTATTTCAGTCATTTCACACCAGCTACAACACATGCACCCCTGGTGTCAAACATCTAAGCAGTTATGTGCATACTGCTTGACTCAGAGGAATATAAAACCTTTAAGGTTCAAGCCATGAAAGCCTTTCAAATATTAACTGCTCATAAAATGGGGCAGTATTGTTCTTCTGCAGACAGTACTACTTGCTCATCCAGTTGTTAAAGAACAGCATCAGTGTTAGCTGTTTCACTGCAGATGATTTTAGCGTGCAGACTAGGGAAAAGGCTAGAAATAAAGCCCATAGGATTTAGAGTGAAAAGAAAATATTTAAGAAAATATTATATAAACAAAGCATGGAAGAAGACACAAACCATAGATTTCTTTCCTAGGTCATACTGATCTACCACTGGTATTGCTTCCTTGAAATTAATAGAAAGCAGAAGTCAAAAAGAGCTGTTTCTCATAATAAAATAGTGATGTCAAGTAGCATCCTAGTGGGTTGAGAAATCCTTTACAAGAGACTGGGTGTACATCGGACTTTTTACAGGTGCATCACTGCTATATCTATACAGTATTTATCATTAGGATAGAAGGTACCTGAGGTTTCGTCTCTGAAGGGTAGCCAAACAAAAAGAACTTCAGAGTAATCACATATGCACTTTTGGGAACTTTTATGAAACTATCAACTACAAATCTCAGTAATTCTAGCTGATTGCAATGGAGGAAGCATCAGCTCTTTTTTCTCCTGTTTTTATGAGATATCTAGCATGCATTACGTACTTTACAATCAGTTAACAACTCATGTTGTTGGAATTGTTGTTGACCCCTCTGGAGGGGTGAAAGTAAAGGCTTGCAAGAGTGATTTTTCTAAAGACCAAAGGCTGTGGATGGCACAGGGCTACGACATAGAGCTGGGCCTGTGCAGAAATTGAGCCTGCAGTCAGGAGCAGAGAGACACCTCTCACTGGGGATGGGGACAACTCCCTAAGGACCTGAGAAGACTGCATTTGCAGCTGTTGAGAAAGGCACTGAGTGAAAACAGGGACCTGCTTGCAAAGATCCAGTGTGTGAGGAAAAGCTGTACATAAACATTTGGTTTTCTATTCTGTCTACCTTGACATATGTTTAAAAAAATAACTATTCAAGACTGTGTTCTATTAATGTTTGACTTTTCTTTTGGCTAACAGACAGCCTTCCATCTTCCCGTGGAACTTACTATAAAAAGGGTACAGGCATGTTCATTTCACAGTGCTGCCTAATTCAGGATCCTGCCCCAATGGCAAATTCAGACAGGTCCACATACAGAAGACTGAAAAGACCTCCTAGCTCTTCATCAGACACGAAGTCTGGGACAAGGGAAGATCAGTCTCATTTAGCGCTACTGAGGATGATGTACACAACAGTTTAGGACCTTGCTGTTGCATATTAATCTTAAGAGGACCTAAATCTGGAATTTGTGGAACAGGAGAAATCTATGGCCTTTGATCTTATGAGTTTCTATGAGTATAATTTCCAAGAGCAGTCCTGTGGATATTTATTGGTACTTTAGTGCATAGAGCTGGAGCTCTTCCTATTTCTGGCTGGGAAAGAAACTCTCAGAGGCATTATAAGAGGAAAAACATCAGAGTAGAAAGCACTTTCTTTGAATCATGTTTTTCATCTTCTCTTCCAGAAGACCAGAAGCAAGGAGTCATGGCCAGAAAGGGTCATAAATGTTATGACACTACTTGCAGCATCTCCTAGTTTGGACACTGTCTTTAGGAATGGAAATTGTAATGATCTACTTTTTAGCTGTGCTAAATGGAAGAGAATTAATGGCCAGGATTAAATCAGTTTGCTAAACTCTGGGATGTCAAAGCCAATAGCAATATAGCAGTTCAAACATATGATGTGGTCTTTTTCTGTTACATACACAGCATAGTTAATGTGCACATGCACAGTAGTTCTTTTTTCCTAAATGACAGACTTACTATGCTTGCACAAAAGAATGTTACATATGAGTAATAGATGCAGCATTTTTTTTTCGAAGCATAGCTTTACTGCTCATTAAAAATCCACTGCACAGGCTGGAAGGGCTTACTCTCACTTGTTTGGACAGGCGAGGGTCGAAACGGTAGGTGACAAGGTGCATGAGTAGGTGCAGATCCAACCTTGCATGCGGGTGGACCAGCGCATGGGTAGCTCAAAATAGCTCAGATGACAGTCCTGGTTGGACACTCCCTGATTGCCTAAGCACCCTTTTTTCAATTTGCGTATCCCACTTGCCCTTGGTCATCATGCTTGTAGTAAGCAAGGTTAAAGCCCTTCCCAAATCTTCGCTCGTGAAGCCAAGCCATCAACTACTCACAGAGAGCATGTGCTCATAGCCTTTGATATCGTACTTCTTGTCTGGTTCTGCAAGGCACCCAGGAAAGAGGCTGGCTGCCTGCTACAAGATTTCCAAACTTGCTTTGTGCTGAGACCATTCTGTACAGGAAGGAATAAGCTGCATACTTTAAGAATAACTCTGTAGCCAGGAGAAAGCTGCTTTCAGCTAACATCTTTCTTCCATCTGTCAAACGAGAGAATGTGTTCCCATTACACACTGGGAGAAGGAGCCATACACTGAGCATCCCACACAAAAACAATCCTTTTTCTTATCTGAGTTCTCAGATAAGCTAGGATAATTATTTTCAAAAACAGTTTTAGCTTTTGAGGAACCCATTGAGAAGTTGCTTGCACATAGGTTTGGGATGCTGAAATAACCTGAGAATTCTCTTTAGTTTCCCATGACTGCTACTATTTGCTTAGTCAAATAAGCATATCCTGCAAGCGGTTTATTTCCCAGTTTTATTTTTCTCAAATCCTGTACTTGCAGCTTCAGTATCTACTTGGACATGGTCTCTACCTAAAATCTTCTACCTCTAAATCATCCTCCAAATATTTATAGATTTCATTCTTTTTAAAAGAAGAAATATTAAATGCGGTATCAAACTCCACTATGAAATTTGCTCTAAGACTGATGTCAGGTATAAAATATTTCCATTTCAAGAATTAACTCTACAAATCAGAGTTCTACTGGAGTGTCATAACCTTATCTAATAATAATAAGCCATAAAGTGCTCTAGTTATTATTAATGTGAAACTTGAATAACTTATATTAGTGTGAGAGGAAACTTTGGGCTACTAGCTCTAATCCAACAAAAATAAAAGGTATTTTGAAAATCAGAAATCTAACTGAAAGATTTCAACTCTACCTGTTACAACCATACCAAATACAGAATGAGCAGGGAAAAATATTTTGAGAAATCTGGGTAATCATACCTTTTTATACTGGTTAAACACTACAATAACTAAGTCATCTATATTTGAAGAGTTATGTGGGTTTTTCTTTTTCTCATTTAAAACCACTTTAAGCTCTAGAAGGTGGTTCCTAAACAGGCTACTGGTGTTTGAAGTATAGAAATTCATCACTACTTAGGAAGCCAGCAATTATGATTAATAAGACAGTCTTTCTTTTCAGCCACTAAATGCCTGTTGCATTTTCAGACTGCAGAGATGAATATTGATGAGAATAACAAAAAGAGCTCTAAAAAAGGAGTATTTTAAAACCTTGACAATAGATTTTTTGCTTGATTTTTACCCTCTAAACTTATTCAATACTGCCTGCGTATATGGCTTTAAGTAAGTCCTGTTTCAGATGGTTTTTAAAGCATTTAACTTCTACCTCAAAATTTGAGTTAGAAAGTATCACAAGACATGAAACATTAATAGTAAATCTAAAAATATCATCATCAGCAATGTCATTAAGTACTAAAACACAAGGAGTCATCAAGATTTAAATTAAATGAGAAACAGAAAAGAGGTACACGTTCAAAACAAACAAACTAAAAGAATTTTTTATCTAATGAGATTCAAATTAGTGAAGCTTCAATTATGGCTTGAGATCTTAAAATATTTAGATGGCATGCACTATTTTGAATGCATGATGACAGAGATGAACTTATCAACAAACAAACAGATATACTGAAATATATCAAAGTTCCTTGCAGAATGTGATTTTTTTTAGAACCTTTAGCATGCTGTTAATGAATGCAGCAAGGATGGATTACATCAGATAAAACTTAGCATGATCCCAGTTTTGGGGCCCCATGGCTATTCTGACAGCTGTGCCTTCGAAAGAACTCAGTTTTGAATTGGAAATTATATTTTTACTATCTAAGCTCTCTTGTATTGCTGAGTCACTTAAGTGAAGAAATGTGATGCACAGCTTCAGTGTTTGACTGTGTTTTGGTGTAACATTCTTGCATCAAAGACACTAAAAACATGGTCCTTAAGGACTGTTTTTTTTTAGCTCAACAGGGAAGCTGTTAAAATCTACCTCTCCCATCATTCAGTCCATGCTTCAAGACATTCTGTCAATTATCTTTGGTTCAAAAGATGTTAATTCTTCCAAGTAACTGCATAACCATCTTGTTCTCGGTTTCCAGAATATCTTTAGATCTTGACTCTGTCCTCCTTTCTCACATTAAGCATATTTTAAAAAGACCTCAGTTTGGAGTTTTATGACAGAATCTGGTCTCAGCACTATAATACTTTCCAAAAGCAGACAGCATTAACTATGTCTTCATAAACATGGGTTACTTAGTGCAGAGAGCACTAAAATTATCATATACTAACAATCGACTCATTAATTTTGAAAACTTTCAACAAGAATACAAGAAAGCTGATCTCTGTAAGAAGTGTGAAAAACAGAAAAAATATATAATCAGCTAAGAGCAGGGATTAAGATTACAAAAATTTGTTTGAATGATAGCATTGCTGAAAAAATAATAGTTAAATCTTAAATATCTATTTTAAGTAATCAAATGCTACTTTTCTACACCTTGGTATTTGTATCATTTAATTCACTTGTCTAACACTATATGTGGAATACTATTTCCTTTAATAATCTTTGATGTTTCAGTGAACAGGCTCATGTTGTAGTATACATGGCTTGACTAATACATCCAGATACAGAAACTGTTCCCAACTTCTAATTTTTCCCATACAAAAGAAGCTCTTGTTCTCTTTTACAAGTGATTCATCCAGTAAGCCCCGATGCATCAAAAAGCCTCTTCCAGCAATGTCAAACTCTTGTCTAGACTAAAAAGTCCTTTAATAACTCTTCATTCTCTGCTAGTACTAAATTGCAAGCGGACTGATCTTTATTTACCTCAATTATTCTACATATGCTGCTCCCAGAACACTCCATGCACTTTACACTAGGTTTTATTCCAGTCCTAGTATTTTGTACCAAGTATCTGCATCACATATGGAAGACTTCTGACCCTTACTGGGGTCTACTTCTAATTCATCCTCCTCATACAGATTTCTAAAATCGAATAGTAAGTTACCATGCTAGTGCACTCTCTCTCTTGTTTAGAATGGTAGTAGAAGCCTCCACTAATATATTTTGGCATACAAAATATAAGAGCAATCCCTTTCTATCACAGATTTTAAAATCTATAGTTTAAATCAGCTAGCACCAAAAATAATTGGTAAAATGACTGCATGTCATTCTGTCCACAGCCAAGAAGCAAAATTCATGTACACAGCAGCAAATCAAATATGAAGCCCGCAGGAAGTCTCCACAGCTTACATGAAAGGCAGATATTAGGAAAATAAGGTTTCATACATGGCTTTAAAGTATACTTAAGGGGCAAAGTACTTCCAGGCCAACTGTTATGTAAAGATAAACAATCTGGAAATCATTGACAGCCTTATTTGCACATACGTAATGACAGTCTATAAACAGACTGAAAAGCTAAAAATAAATAAAATAAATTCTAAATAGCCATCACTTCAGATTACAGATTTTACTCTCCTTTGCTTTGTTTGCCAATTACACCTATACAAAGTGGGTCTAATGCAAAGACATTACTTTATGCCACATTTGCATATGCAAAATCATGTCTACAAAAGCAGTAGAGCATTATCTTTATCTCTGTTTGAAAAAGTGTTTAAAATAATGTGAAAGCTGTAGGTGTGAGATTCCTCACTTGGATAATAACAGAAACTATACCTTTGGGAGAAGCTGGATTGCTTGGAGTATTCTCTGTCTGTGCCCAGAGTTAAGGATTCCTATTTCCAAGAGATCCTGGTCCTCCATTACGTTGCTTCCCTAAAAATGGGGGAAAAAAATTAAAAAAGGTGGAATACAAGTGGAAAAACAACAGATGTCTTCAGTAGCCTGAAACAAGCCCTTCTGTTGCATTTGAGAAAGAGCACTTCGCTTAACTTACAGTATCTGACAAGAATCATAAATTACTGATGACTGCATTCATTTTCACAATGACAAAAATATGGTGGAAGGTGCCTGAACTCATGGACAATTACTCGACTGCTGGCAGCACTGCAGTGGAGAAATTGTAGCTTTCACTCAAGCCATATACCAGACACGAATCTTCTTTCGACTGGAACCAAGGATATGACTACAGAAATGTTCAGAAACTCTTTATTTTTCAATTCCCCTCCTTTCTCATCCAGCTATACATGGTGGTCATTTTTCTCCAGACTGGAAAATAATTAACACAGAATAAAATGAGCAGAGTGGATAAGGATAAAATTATTTAGTTCCTTGTTAGAAAAATAGTGAAGAGAGTGGTATCAACACACCCCATACAGTCCCTGTTCCCCTAAATTTCACTGTCCTAGTGCAATCCTAACTTTACCTACCACTGTTCTTATCACCCTGCTTGAGGGCAGATCAAATAATTCCTAACATGCAAACAGCTGAAATAGTTTATCTGTTCAAAGAATACATAAAATAATTGCCCCAAATGTCCATAAAACAAGCCTCCACAACTCAAGCCTTTATTCTTAGGAGTTGCTAGCACTAGGGAGAGGACCTATAGCTACACAAACAGGATAATATCATACATTCAAAGAATGTGACACCACCTACATAGTAAGTTGAGCATTTGAAGGTTAAGGTATTTGATTAGCTGGCAGTGACTATTTGGAATCACAGGAGGCAAAATGGTAGCTCGAAAAAGAGAATTGCAACCAGGGATCAAATCAAGATTGTTCAAAGTAGACTGGCAATCTTGTATTCCTTTTTTTAGACTGCCTCAGTTCAGACTAAACTTCAGCTTTTAAAAACATTTATTTTATTTTTAAAAGCTTCTAACTATTGCAGTTGCAAACAAAACCTGCAAAAAAAGAGATGACCTGTCTTGAACTCTTACCCCTGTTGGAGTCTTATGACACTAATTTGCTAAAACCAAGAATTACTATTTGTACTCATTTAACATCATGAAACAGGATTTATGTGAGCAAACCCATAAAAACTGCATCTCTACCTTTCCATTAGGCTTGCTGCTTCTGACACAGTAGGACTCTTAAGCAGCAGCAAAAATGAAAAGCTAATAGATGCATAATAGAACATGCTTAAATACTTTGCTGAATCAGGGCTTAATAATGGATATGAATTCTTTCTGAATATCAAATCTTGTGTCCCACAGCTACATAGCTTTATTTCAAAAAGCACACTAGAATACGCAATACTTCACCCTGTTCAGCTGCTAAATCTTCACCCTTTTCAGATGGACTGAGTAGTTTACAGATGTACTCTTGAGGACTCTCAAGTGCTACTCTGCAGAGTATCCTGCAAAATCCAGGGGATGTCTTTTTAAGGCAATCATGGAAACTTTGCAAAGCTATTACATTTAAAATTATATTTCACAGTAAGTGGTATGATTTAAGACTCAAGTCTGCAAATCGTATCCTGAAAAACTTTGTGTGCAGCATTCAGTACAGGAGCAGACAGAGACCTGCTCTAAAGGGAGAAACTCTGCAATCATGCAGATTTAAGTAGATCACATGGTGACAGAGTGCATGCAGCACAGGCTGTGCAAACAGTGATAGTGATGAGGTGGGGTTAACACCCCCTTCATTTCCCTGGTAAACACATACCAAATATAATTTCCCCTTTCTTCCTTTCTCCTTCAGGAGAAACCTCAAGGAGGCTCTAAACTCATGGGAAGAACTGGGAAGAAAACTTCCATTTTGGGCTGGATTGTCCAGCTGCTGGAAATAGCTAGCATAAATGGCTTTAAGAAAACTGAGGCAACTGAGGATCCAGTCCAAAACAAAGCCTGTGCATTTTCATTCATTTTAATAAATGCAGATATTTTGTTTACAGCTATTGCTTTCACTTCATTTCACTGTTTTTCATATTTCACCTGTCATTGCTCTATGATGTTTACGTACAATCATGGAGTACTCATCACAGAGCTACTACACACTGTTTACTGTGTGTCAGTAACCTCGGCATCCAGCTTCAAATCCTGCAATGTTTAAAACCTAATCCAACTAATACTTAGGCACAGGACAAATCCCATCTATTCACACATAGATGCTGCATAGCAGAGAAAGCATTATTTTATTAATTCATTATTATTATTTTTCCTTATGTGTTAGTTTGTACCTTTTGTTTCTTTGCAGCTGGTATTCTATGTATTTTCTTAAAGCACGTCAGCACTACAAAATCAAATATTTAAAACTTTAAAAAGCCTGGAATTCATGTGGCCTCCTTGTCCTCAGTCTAAAAAGGCAACAACCTGATCTTTCAACATGCTCAGGTTCTGGAGCTTCTGTTCTGTATGACCATTAGTGTCTACAGTAGCAGACACTCAACTCTCCTGTAGTATAAGACTTTACTGTTTCCTGCCATGGAGCCAAACCAGATTTTCATCTTTGCACAATAGGAAACCAGGAAACTTTACATATTCAGAATTATCCACTGTTGCTTAACATAGAGGACTAAACTGACAGCAGTAGAAAGGTGCTGTCTGCTTTGCAGACATACCTGTGAAGAGTAAAAACCAGTCCCCCAGATTTCTATTTCCCTGGTGTCTACTCCCATTCTCTCCTTAATCCCAGAGCTTTTTTTTTTTTTTTTTTTTTTTTTGCCTGATTACTCTTGCACTCCTGCAGTCTCCTTACATAGTCTCCTATGTTAACAGTGAGGAAAACCTAACTTCCTTCTGCAGCAGATGAAAGACGAGAGGAGAGGAGAAATTCTCTCCCTGCTCTTAGCTGCCATGCACACATTTATTATAAACTGGTCCTAGTTTAACCTTTATTAACTTTACAGAGATGACATGGTAAGTGGAATTAAAATGAATATGAATGCAAGAGTGTCTTTTCACACCATTTTAGCCTTAAAAATAGCTGAGCTACATTAGCTGAAACATTCACCAAAAACAAATTATTCTGGTAGACACCTAGAGAATCTGAGTCCAAAAATTTAACTTTGATATGTTTATATATAAAACAGGCTCTTATAACAGGGAATATAGGATAGCAATCTCTACCAGGGTTATTATGCTTTTATTATGTAATAAAAAATATAAGCAGCTTTGTGATATTGCAGTTTCTTAAGTCTATAGGAAATTTTTGAAGGAAAACATTTCAGAATTAAAGCAATACAAATATATCAAAAGTTCTTACACTAGGACAGATTCAGATCTCATTACCTTCAGCTTACACTGTTGAAATTCCTGTCCTGTTAATGCATAACATTTAGTCTTATGAATTGGAAGGATCTTGATTCAAAAGTTCCAGTTATGAAAAAAGTACAGCTGACTGCCCACCCCCGTCCCCCTCCCCCCCAGGATCTGCACAGCTCTCAGGAATACCATCTTTTTCCCTGTAAGCACATAGAGGAAGCCAATCTTCTGAGTAAGAAGGCAGTGGTTTCACAGAACAGTTGGGCTCAAGAAGGAAGGAAAAACGACTCTGCATATGGGAGACTGATGGCATATGAAAAACAACACAATTTAAAAACCTAAGAAATTTTGCCAAAATCTGAGATAGTTCCTATAAATAAGTTCAGAACAAAATACGTAATGGTACACTATGACATAAAGATTTTACTGGTATTTATTTGGGTTGTTCCACACAAAATCATCTTTGGCACTCTACACCTGAATTTAGTATGGACTTTCCTCAAAATGCTGGATTAGACATTTATGCCATATTCCAAATGTATGTAAGTACAGATATTTGTATAAAGAATGTTTAGAAAATAATTTAAATTGGAATATGTCAGATTTATAGCAAACCAAAAATTATTGTTTTTATTAAAACCGAACTTCAATATATTAAACAGCTCAGAGTCTCTAAAATCCAATTTAAAAGACTGATAAACTTGTAGATAGCTTCATTTACTATCAAAGGAGAACAACTTTCAAGATTCTTAACAAAAAAAAAAACAAACCAATACCTATTTTATATCCTGCATGAACAGAAGCACTTTGTCCCTGAAGATAATAAAACATGGTTAAAGATAAAACATGGTTATTAGAATAACGTATTGGGATGGAAGGCATGATTGGATGTTTCTCATTGCTCTTCTTTTGTACCTCTGCTTTCACTCTTCCTTCACATATTTTCCAGTGTCTGGTTCTGCTGCCAAAGTAAAATGGTACAGAGGCTTTAAAACAGGTGGCAGATGGATTACACCTATCTGAAAATTCAGCTACTGACATTGGAAGAGATGGGCTGCAGGGAACAAACTACCTGCATATGCTTTTTGGTCTTATTGTTCTTCACCTTGGCTGGTAGACTGAAAACCTGATAAAGGTGGGAGACACATTTCATAGATTTTCGTTGTAAAGTTCTGGGAAAAAACTCAATGGGCAGACAGATGTATATACACATTTTATGTAAATGAAGTAAAAACTGATGGGAAAAAAAATAGAAAGAACAAGTTAATTTTGAATTTAAGGCTTTTTTCCTGCTTACGAAAGAAAAACCTGTTGTGCAAGATTTAGGAGAGTTCTGACTATAGGTTGGCAATGCCAACCAAACCAGCTTTTTCTATGCTTGGCTATATCAGCTAGAAGAGGAAAAGTAGTAGATCTGGTGGTAAAGCTGTGTAAGAGCTGCTGCTTATGAGGTTGAGTGGAATTCATTTGCTGTACAGACATTATCGAGACCAAGTTCAGCTGGAGGCTATTGGAACTGGCAGCAAATTCTGTAACTTGTTTATACTTTTGGTGTACTGGAAATTGGTTTGCCCAAGAACAGGGTTGGTGTGGGTTAGGGAAAGATGACTTCTTAGTACACCATTGATGGGGCAGCACCGGTGCTTGCATCACTCCCATTAAGCACTTG